CCGGGGTTAGTGGGGTGAGCCAGGAATGGCGATTGGGCTGGGGGGGAAAGGGTTGGTTGGCAGGTTGTATATTTGGCGGGGTGTGTGTGTTGGGGGGGGACCATATTCACCAGCTGAATTTTTTTATCCCAGAAGCCAAGCTAGCACTAAATGAGGTGTGCTTGTTAATAAAGCAGTCCAACGTCTTAACAATCAGCAGACCCTCCCCACACCAGCATTGAAGTTGGGATCAGGTGTAGTTTGTATTGATTTGCCCTCTCAGGTGAACTTTGAGATACAGCGTCTTAAAGAGGATCATGTCTAGTGTGTAAGTTCTGCTGTGTATGTTGTGAAGAAGAGGTAGGACACAGGAGAGTGTAGAGAAATGTAAGGACTTTCATCTAGGCTTAATGTCTTTATCAGCATTTCCTCAATGTAAAAAAAAAGGGGGGGGGGGGGTCATATAACTTTAAATTATTTGTTGAAGTGTAAAAGCAGCACAGAGAAAGAGGATTTGATATGGCAAACATCCAACAAACATTATACTACAAAAATTGATTACAGGGCATGATGATGATCTAAGGTCATAAATTCTACATCTCTAAGAGTCTATAAATCACCTTATCTTCATGACCCATTCAAACTAAGCTCAATAGTTATTGAACAAATGTTTTTACTTATTGAGAGGTGGTTAAACGGAGAGCAGAATAAGCTAGCCTGAATCCACTGAATAGCCCCCAAAACCTCTTATTTGTTTAAAGACTCCGCTGGTGTTGTGCAGGAGAAGGATTTCTCCACTGGCTGGAATAAAATAGTTAACATAAGTTATAAAGGTAAAGTCTAAATAGCTGGATCATTTGCTAAATTATTCATCATCATCATCATCATCATCATCATCATCATCATTCTCCACAACATGCAGTTTCCGATCTCTCCCCAAACCCCTGTTATAGGCCGGAAAGAGCCTCTGACACATAAAGCAACAGCTTTGTTCCTTAACTGTCTGAAACAGAAGGTGACGACCTCCCACCATGTAATGTGCATCCTTTTTTTTTTCACATGCTTGGGGATGAATCATTGGAAAAAGGGTGAAGTTTCAGGGGCCAGTGCTATTGATTCAATTTCTATGACCACAAATACTTTAAGGCATAATAAGCCTATGCTTCAAGTCCCCATACCCTTTCAAGGCTTGAAATGGCCTTGTCATTACCTACAAATCACAGCTCTCCGCAAAGCTGCCCTCTCTGGAGCAATATGTCAGTGACCACAGGGGAGGAAAAAAAACACAAGGCAACAGACACGAGAAAGCCTCAGAAAAATTTAATGTTTTTTTCTGAGGATTAAGCCAGTGCTATGGTGGTGTGTGAGCATCATTCATGTTTTCAGACATAGCAGATCGTCGGGGGAGATGGTGAATATTAAAGGGCTCTGCCGGAGCCTCCCCTGTGAAGGCTCTTGTCAGGAGATTTGTTTATGACCTTCAAAAAAAAGGGAAGGAAGTCAATGATAGCGAAGACTGCCTCTTTTGCATCTCAAAGCGGTCTCTTTCATAGAAAAAACAGAGCTGCAGCATCCCATGCTCAAGTATTTACTGTTGTCATCAGAAGTGTGAAGCTCTTCCACTTCTATTTAACACATAGTCTCTTTTAAGAGCAGTGTGAACACAATAAGGCAACAACTGTCTGCAAAAAAAAACTTAGTGGCTCAGAGAAGAAGATTTAACTCAATGCCTGACCAAAAAGAAAAAAAACATTTTGCCAAGTGCAACTATAGGAAATGAATTACATATCATATGCGATATATTATTATAATGTTATGTCACCTCTCTCCATTTCCAACTTTGAAAAAACATTCAGCTTGGTGTTGATGAAAAAATATTGGGAATGGTTGCCTGAGTAACAAGGTGAGAAAAGTGTAAAAATAGGAGAACGTAGTATATGAGGCATCTCTGCATTCCTTAGATTATTATAAAGCCCTGATATTAACAGAACAAAACTCTCCTCACACGAACTGAACTTGTGAATGAGTCAGCATCACACAGCACAATATCAACAGCAGAGAGTGACTTTAATTAACAGTTTTTAGTGTTAACAAATTGTGATGTTCCTTTTACATTAATGTGACCTCACACAAACACTGATTACTTCTCTTTTATGCGTGCCATAAAAAAAAGGGATGTCTGTGTAAATGTGTAACTGGAGGGTTTGTTTTTTTCAGCAGCCTACAGTCTATCATCTGCTTCCCTTGTCTACAACATCTTCAACAGCACAGCATGTGGCTACAGATTCATCTATCATAGGCCTTTGATGGAAGAGGGTCAGCAGAGGGAAAAGCCAGCTTTATGCTTTGTATTCCATTTTTATGAGATTTAGCCATGGACCAGACACAAAATGTTTGAACTTGTCTTGATCTAATACATTAAAATATATGAGACATTCCCCTAATATAAATATATATATAGTACTTATCCATTTTAGGTGACGCTAAAGCTTAAGAGTGTGACTCTTTCTTCAGACTATTTAGATTTTTGAGGTCAGAATTAGACAGAAAATCGATTTTCAATTCAAACCGATTTGCGATTGACAACACATTACCTATTTGTCAGAAAGGGGTGCTTATTTCATGTTCTACTCCTGTGCACTAAGAAGCTGCAAATTATTTTAACTTTATGCAGACATTGCAGCCATAAATTACCGTCGCTAATAGCAAGCTAATGAAAGCAAGCATGGCTGACAACGAGCCAGAATCGACACACCTCTTGTTGCATTGGCATACCAAGGAAGGTCTGGTGCACGGAAGAAAATGCCAGCAGTGTTCAAACTGGCTGCTGGTGAAGATTGATTCTGGATTTTAAAAAAGCAGTTTTTAAAAAAATCTATTTTTGGACTCTTTGAATCAATTTAGAATTGTAGAAATTAATAATTGGGATTTGGACGTGAATCGATTTTTTCCCCACACCCCTACTAAAGCTAGTTTTACCAACCAACCAATACAGTTTATCAATGAAGACAAATGTCTTCTGCGATACAAACCTATTATACTTTCCTGATCCATCTTCATTTGCAGTAAATGAGAAAAGACCCGACAAAAACTGTCTCAAGAAATTAATCAACTCTTTCCACACAGTTTATAGACATGTCTGGTCTATGATTGGGGCTGCTCTACAAGGAAACTCCGCTAAGGGAGGCTTTGTAGTTGTTGTTTTTATAGCATCAGCCAAGGAGCACAAGTACAAAAACAAAATCCACAACAGTTTTTTTAGGACACATACAAGCTTGTGGCTAGAAAAAATAAATAGACAACTCTAAGTTTGTAAGAATAAGGGCTGCGTTAGACTTCAACTACCCAACAATCATGGTAGTCTATTAAACATTTCCCTTTTATGTTAATTTGGTAACGCCAAGATGTTACAAAAATAAAAAATCATTAGTATTTTTCCTAGCATATGGCCTTTGAATAGTGTCTAATCATTGCAGTGTAGCTTTGGAGTGGGTTCTAAAAGTGTCTTCTTAGCCTATTAAAGATATTGGATGTAATTTTGGAGGTCTAAAATGCCAAGACCAAAATAATTACAAACAGTGACAGAAATACAGGAAAGGCTAAATAATGGTTAGAGAACAATGTTATGTTCATTCTTTCCCCTTTTTTATTTTTAACAGTTTCCTCATCTGATCTAGGCCTATGCAGGCTATTTGATTTGTGAAGAATTTGCTCTGCACCAAGACCAGACAGATGATTGTTGAGCATCTTCAGAGAAAAGATAAAGAAAGACAGAGTAAAAGCAGCATGTGGGAGTCTAGGTTGACAGAGTTCAAGTAACCCATCTCATTCAGCACAACTCAACTTTATCTCTGGGTGCATCCGAATTGTCCCTCCTATCTCCTTTCACTATCCACTTTACCTTAACCCCGCGAAAACGTCATGAGGTCAAGGAAAGATGTTAGGAGAATTCATAAAGGACTTAGGGAAAGGAGATCTCGTCGCTCTGACAATCCCACCGCATTTTCCACTAGGCGACGTCATTAAATGCGACGGGCCGGCGGAGGTTAATGACGTAGTCTGCCGTGTTGAAACTACAATGTTCCGAAAATGGACTACAAAAAACGCATCTAAAAAAACTCTTTCTGTACCTTCTTACCGGTGAAATAATCCTAATTACCACAAGGTTGGGATTGAAACAAAAGCAATATAGACTACCAGGCTACAAGTAAGAAAAGTGAAACCATCAGCTTCCTGTCCAATCAGAAATCAACATCAACATAAATATGAAATTAATTGTTACATTTATGCAAGACAAGAATGTACAACTGAAGAAAAGCACAAAACATTCTGAATTGAATGAAATATGTTGAATAAAACATCATCTGATAAAAATGTCTCTTATCTTTTTATCCCTTGATCTGTTTCACTTTATGGTCATCGTTAATGTTCGTGAACGGTCGGATGCGCAAGTCGAGGAATTGTGGGTCGTCAAATCTCATCTCCTTTGGTAAAGGATGGTCCAGTGTATCCTAAAGGAGGTTATAAAGGAAGCATTGACCCACCTTTCCTTAACTTTTAGAGAATTCAAACGCTCTTATCATGGCCGCCACTTAAATGCTTCCGGGGTTAAAGGTGAAGTGGATAGTGAAAGGAGATAGGAGACAGGAGGGACAATTCGGATGCACCCTCTGCCTCTTCAATGCAACTCATGTCTGTCTCCATGATTAGAAAAGTACGGTTAGTTAGTAAAACTGTTCAAAGTGTTGACGCAGGTAAAGGTAAATAGTGTGCATAGTTTGACCTAACTGACATTAACCAATTTATTAACCACGTCATTTTGAAACCAAAATACGACAGGTGAGTTTTCCACAACTTCCCTTAATTACACCTGCTGTACATTACACAAAGTATTTTCAGCTGTCACCTGTTATTTCGGTCGACACTCGGAACACCTTTACCTAGCTCAAACGCTGCTAAAGCTAACTTTAACCGAACGTCAGCTAACGTTAACGTTTACAGCGTAAGATAACTTTACTCACCACGGAGTTCTTCATAGTAGACTTCACGGTGAAGCCTTGTGTTATTTGCTCCTTCTTGTGTCTCAACATATCCACAGGTGTCTTGAAAAAGAATTAAGTGAAGCAGAAATGTTGATTTGTGTGGCGCAAGAGACGTTCGTAGTTTTTTTTTTCCTCCCTGCTGTGGTTGCTAGGCAACGTCAGAGACGCTCAGGTCTGGTTGCTGCGGAGACGCGTGTTTCCTTGTTGCCATAGAAATTCTATGGCACTTTTGAAAATATGCATAGCAAAGTGTCGAGAGGACCCCCCTCTTTGTGTTATTACTTTTTATTTGACCTTATCAAAATTTGTCACAAAGCCAAAAAGATAAAGAGATGGTTATGTGACAGCAAAAAGTGCTGTATTTGAGATGTTAGAGTAGCCTACATGATGATTATGTCATTGTATTTTTTTAAATTGTTGAAAGGAAAAAATAGCATTAATTTGAATTGATGTCTGTGTGTCATTATTATTTAATTTCTAATTATTAATTTTCATTACTACTATTGTATTATTTGTTATTATATGCTTTGGCGATATATTTTACACATTCATGCCAGTAAAGCTATTTGAATTGAATTGAATTGAATAGTCCTGGTGATCATTTTATTTATTTACTTTTTTTGTGTGAAATTTATTTTAGGGGGTGTCTACGCATTGTGATTTACTGTTTAATAATTATTTAATGTAATCTTACCAAATAGACCTATTGCTTTGTTTGCAAATGTATGCATCTTAATTGACAGTTTAATATCAGGGCAGCACCACTTCTCTTTTTTTTTATTATAATAATGTGTTGAATCATTGCTCTCTTTTTTTTACTTCCATTGTGCGGTTTTTTTAACTAGGGGGCTGCAAAAAGAGAAAAGATGACCTAAGCTCTCACAGAATGGCCAATTTTTATGTGAGCCACTGCAGCCTGCTCGTTGTCCACTTCCATTTAGGAGGCAGAAGATCAATCACACCCTTAGCTCACCATTTAACTCATACAGTGCATCCTCATCCAGAATTAAATACTTAAGGATGCTTTTTGTCTCGCAGGAAAAACCAAGACCTTGACTCTCAATAAGCTGGTTAGAGAGCAGGTTGAGCTCTGAATCACTCCAATTTAGGGACGTGGCACTTTTAATCTTCCAATATCGTTTTTGCCTCTGGAGACTTTCTTGGGTGAACTGGTGCAACTGTTATTAATCTTCAGTGCAAAGGCAATTTCTCTAAAAGCCCCTATTTGTTTTTTATGGCTCCATTGAGAGAGGAGGGTATAGCAGCAGGGAGAAAGACTGTAAACAAGGTATGCAGGGAAAGGCAAGTTATGTCCCTGTCAGCATTCAATGCTGGTCCCTCTCTCTTTCTCCCTCTTTCCCTCCCTCTGCTTCCCCTCAGAGGATTAAAAAGAGGAAAAGGGGAGTTTTCAGAAAGCAAACTGAGCAAACCGGAGCGTCAGCATGAATTCAGCAGGACTGAGAAATGATTGTTCAAAAAACGCTGCACTATCTCACTGCTGCGAGTGTGTGCTGAGCAGGTCTTTGTGAGATGTAGAAACACATTGCAGGATCATTTGTGAAATGCATTGTTAGCTTGAATGTAATTTGGTTTGATGTGTTTGCACATACATGTATATGCACATATATGTAGCTCTGACTACCTGCATAAGCCAACACACAGGTCAAATTCATTTCACAATTTCTAAAAGTCAATTCAAGGACACAATGAAGTGGCCCTGCTGATTCACTAAGTGAAGATGAATAGGCATTTTTTGGTCGCTAATGATGTATTGTAGATAACTGGAAGGTTTAGCAGCTAGAGAGATAAATATGAGTAAAAACAATGGAAAGCATGATACATTATGCTTTGATGAGTATGTGTTATTTTGTCTGCATCGACACTGTGCCTTCATCATCATCTTGTTGTTCCTGGTTTGATCTCTAGCTCATTTGCTGGGCCACCTTCAGGCTTGGCAACTATTGTCCACTGTGCGGGAAAACAGCAATTATGATATCATTAGAGCAGGAACCGGTACCTACAAAGCAGGGGACCCAGAGGGGCCAGCAGAAGACTCTCAGCAGGAAAAGATAGCAGAGTTTGGAGTCAGTTGCCCCCCAATTACCATGAAACAAGACAAACAGCCATTAGAGCAGACCATTAGGCTGTAGGGAGAGTGGCTGGGGGCTTGTAGAGTTTAACAGTTTGCCAGGTCATTAAAGTCACACAAAGTTTTTGAAGATATGCAACTGTGATAAATGCAATTGAATGTAAAAGATATATCATATTCATTTTATGTGCCTACAATCTGAAATATTATCATGACATTAAACCAGAAAGAAAAATGTTGTTTCAGATATGGAACCCATTGTTCAATGAAGCGACAGTGACTGCAGCATTGATGCTAATGAGGCTAATGCACGAGTCCTCCGGTACGACGGAGTATTAGGGCCACCTTAAAGAAAAAAATAAACTTTACTAAAGTATGACTTCACAAGATACTCCACGATCATTTCCATACAGACGACTGCTGCTCTTCTAATATAACTATAAAATGAATTAACAACCTTTTTCTCATAAATTTTTGAGTTTATTCTTGTATGAACACGACTTTATTCTCATAAATTTACAAGTTTATTTTTGTAAATTTAAGACGCGAAGCTCGAAAACTCAGATTTTTTCCCCCCCTTAAAGTGGACCTAATACTCCTTTGTACTCCAAAAATGAATATAATGGGGATATTGTCACAATTTTGTGCAATTCTTGTGTTAAAGTCCTATTGTTATACTACCACGTGTGTTTTTACTTCGGCCTGATTAGTTCTCTGCTTTGGACTTTGTATAGCATCTCCTTGACTATCTTGTTAATTTTCTTGCACCTTTTCTTGTTAAGTCTTTAACAGCTAACACCTTTACAATATTTTTAAGTTCATTAAGGACTTTGGTGACCAAGCAGGGCGATGTAAAACTTTGACCTCCCACAGATCTAATCAGCCAGAATGAGTAAGAACAGCTGTGTTGGTGCATGGGGCCTTCAATGGTTTATAGAACAAAGTTTGTGCTCAATTAAAGTTTAAATTGGACACAAAGTGGTCTGGGTTTATCAAAGTGTTCATTATATTGATACATAATAGTTGCTTCAACATTTAGGAGATTTAAAACAAAACCTGGCATCAATACAGAACATGTGGTTGCCTGTTTGTTTGTTTTTCAATCTAAGTAATAAAATAAAACCAGGACATAAGACTTGAATATAGAAAAAATTTACTGTTATTGCAGTATATTATGTGAGCTATCAAGGGTTCATCTCCCATATAAGTGATGGTATTCTCTGCTGTTGTGGCCTAGACTGGTGAAGATGTAATGTTTCCCGTTCCTCGCACTACATATTCCATTCTTTCTGTTGCATTAGAGGCTTAATGAGATGCAGTCCATGACCCTGAACCAGTCAAATGCATATATGTTAAAGGCATGAATGGATGAGTATGGCATCCAATCTTAACTCAGTTTGACCTTTAAAGTTAATTAAAGGTCGTCTTTGGACGTTTTTGCTTCTTGAGTAATGTTGTGAAATGGTTTGATTTGCTGCTTTGTATTAAATGGTGAATAACGAAATGAAGCTCACCTTCTTTACATTGGAAAATGCTTTACAAGAAACATGTTTGCACATCAAAGGCCTGTGTCCACTAATGCTGGAATCACCCATTTGTTTTTTTTGTCTCTGCATTCACAGCGCTCTCTGGTGAAAAGTGCATTTTTTTTTTGGGTGCGAGAGAAGAAAGTTTGATTGTATATAAAGTTCAAAATGAAAAAATCTACCGTACCTTTAAGCAATCTGGGCCCAACCTGGGCTGTGTTCGTGCAATAGTAAAACTGTGACTGAACCAGGGTGGGAGGTGTACTGCTTTTGGAAAGGGAAGCCAGATGACTGAATATGAAACAACACTAAACTCTCAATCTCTTTCATGATTTTTTAAAATTTGACCTTATGCTTTTGGAAATTTGCTGACATTGCATATAAAATAAGCACATACACTTGGAAGAGTCCTTTATTACTGATGTATTTAATATGTTCTTCTGAAAGCTTACATCAAACCCTGCCATAGAAACTGCAGAAGTCAAAAATACCCTAAACACAGCACTACTAGCTTCCTTGTTGTCGTTGTTGCTTTCGTTGTTGTTGTTGCTTCAAAGAAAAGTGTTTTGGGCATCCAGATTCGTTGTCTACGTTCCCCTGGGCCCTTCTCAATCCAAAGGCAAAGATCTCCTCAAACGGCAGGGCAGTTGGTGAGAATACTTGATATGGGAACAGAGTTGCAAGGCCTCACTCACAAAGCCACAGAGTATTGATCTTCATGCATTATAGAAGCAGCTTTGAGGCCAGCTGATATTGGACGGCATAGCTTGCTCATCCCCTGGAGCGTACACTCAAACATGCCCACTGGACCATAGCAGCATATTATCAGACACATGTCCAGATGATCAACACATGGATACTACATCTGATAAAGGATGGCTGAAGTCTGGTTGATTATTGTTCACATGATTATGTCTATTCCAGAGAACACCCATTTATGTGTCCTCTATGTTCATGCCAAAGCTGACACACTTAAATATTCAGTAGATTAGAGGCCATTGTGTCACTGTGGGCTTTCAGGCTTTTTGAGTGTGCATCAACACAGTGAATCCATTGAATTCACCGTGGCTCACAGTATGACCTTAGTGGTGTTGCTTTCAACAGCCATGGCAACACCTTACTCTCCAGAGAATTAAGCTTCCCTGTCACCCACAGGTCAGTGTCGCATGAACCTGAATGTGTGAACAGAGACACCAGTGATCCCACCGGGCTGCACAAAAGCCGGTCTTTTCTCTCTTTTGCGCATGATTCCACTATGTACATAGTCTTAGGAAGAGTGAAGAGGGTTAGAGGGAGAGAGACAGACGGGTAAGGGTGAAGGGATAATCGTGCTTTTACATTTGTATTATCAGCTTTGGAGGGTGCCATTGAAAAGCTCAGGATGTTTCTAACATACGGGTGGGTACATTCATCACATCTTTTTTTTTTTAAGTATAGCATACAAAGGGTCCCACTCTGGTCTGTTGAGCAAGGCTTTTTGTTCAGAGCAGCTATAACAGCAGGGATCAGGCTTTTCCC